CATGGAGGCCCTTAAAGCCAGTGGCTGTGCAGGCGGGGAGGCCAGGGGAGTCACAGAGAGCACGCGTCGTCGCGCACGGAATGAAGAGATGACTAGGAGATGCCACTTGGGGCTGAGAAGTCACAACAAGGCAAATTACAAGGGGAGAAGCCATGCAAGGCGTGCTGCCGGGAAACATGCATGCCGGGAGAGCCACAGACGAGCTTGCAGATGGGTTGCAACAGCCAGCCCTCTACCAGATGGAAATGGCCATCTCTAACAGAGCTGAACGCCTGCCCGACCACTGAGTAACAGGAAAGAGCAGAGACCTGTACAATGGCGGGGGGGGTCTGGTTCACAGAGAAGCTGTGAGACTTTACAAGAAGAGCAGTAACAGGCCCTAAACATTCAAAAGCAGGAAAGTAATGAACTATGGTCGATTTTACAGGGTTCTCTCCACCTCAGTTGCCCTTATATCTTACTTATCATAAGACTGGAGGGGTCTTAAGTAAGTTCCCAGAAGTGACTGTAGTTCCTTCGCATAATCTCGTTCTGTTTCCAGAATATTTTGCAACACCTAGGGTGAGAGACAGAGCACTGAGTAGATCTTAGTACTAGTGAACTAGTCAAAGGAACATGGCATCAGCTTCCAAGTGTGGAAAAGCATGGAAGTGTATTTTAAGTCCATAAATCACATTTGTTAATGCAGAACCCAGAACGCTCAGGAAAGCCCTGGGGGGTCCAATTTCAGGATTTTACTTTGCAAACTGGGGGAGGCCTGGAAAGCCGGTGTTAAGGGCTGCTCCTTCTTCTCTGGCAAAGCGTGAAGACAACAACAGTTCAGACCTGAGTTTAGTATGTGACCCCCGAGAGGCTCATGCCTAACCCTGCATGCATAACTGGCTGCCGAGGTATGCAAACAGACGATTTGGGCATGCATCCTGGGAGCGCCGCTTGCACGAAGGCAGGCAACAGTTTAAATGCAACAGTGGCCGGGCCAAGGACGGCTCCTACGGCAGCTCAAGCCAGGGCACAGCTCACTTGCCACTTCAAGGACGCGCCGAGCTGGGTTTGGGCCTGCTAATCCATCTCAGCAGCCAACTCGTCTCCGGCAGCAGGGTAGGCAAACCCACTGCCTGCACGCTCCCAGTTAGCACTCCAGTTTCTCAGTGTGGATGAGCTCTGGAGACAGTGGAGGTGGTTCCCAACTCCCTGGACATATTGTTTCTGCCTTGCTTTGCTTGAAATATATTTAGACATGCTGATGAGCACGTTCCACTTCCAGCACCGAGAGCCAGGGACGTTCACATGCAGACATTTTAATTCCCTTACACCGCAGGGCTCACTCTAGCCTGGACACAGCAGGAAGGTACCTGCCCCCCTTTGCTGGACATCATCGCTCCGGTGGCAAAATGGTAGAGGTAGTGACGTTTCTCCACCCCTTCTGCAGCCACAGTCCATAGCCTGGCACGCTGACCTGCCCCAAAGCCAAGCCCAATTAAAAAGCCAGGCTCTGAGCTGCGGCGGCTGCCCCTTCTCTGAGGGCTGCGGCTGCCGGCAGAGGCACACGGCAGGCAGCTCGGGGTGGAACATCTCCAGCCAAACCCAAGACAGGGACCATGGAGCAGAGCCCTAATTTGGCTTGCTTCCCACCCTGACATTATCTCCCCATCTTTACCCATGGGAGGTAGTCAGCAGTCAACAGCAAGGACTGGACCAGAGACATCGCACCGTATTCCCCAGCGCTGATCTCGGAGCGAGCTGCCACCTCTGCTATGCTATCTCAGTCACCTACTCTGAGTCTCTCGGTTTGACATAGAATCATAGACATCTTGCAGCAACTTCCATTTGTGGTTTATTGTCTCGACAGCCCTGAATCAAGGCAACGGCAACAGCAGCATTTAAATACAGAGTCACAGCCCCAATTGTTACAAATTGCTTCAATGATTTCTATGGGAAGGAGCCAGTTCAGAAGATTAATAATATGCTACTTATTAAAATGTATGATCAGCACTTTAAAACTTACCACAGGGTAATAATTCTTTGTCAGCTGAGTGCTTTCAAGTCCTTTTAATGCTTTGGGAGAAAGTGGTTTATCTGTGCAAAAAAATACATCAATAAATTACAGTGCACAGTTCTCATTATTCCAGCAGGAAAAGTCACGGCCGCATCATGTCCAGCAAACATAACCTCACCCCTGTGAACCCAAAACTTCAATTGCAGGGTTTGTTTGCCTGCTTCAGAAAAACCAGGAGCAAACTGAAGGCGTGCATGACACCGAAGGCAGCCGAGTGAGTGGCACCAGAGGCACCGCGCAGCCTCTGCCAACTAACTTACAGGTTTGCTCTGAAATCCCTGGCAGCAGCCCAGTGTCTGGCACTGTTTGGAGCTACAGTGTGGCTTCACCCGGCCCACAAAATTTGGGTTTTAAAACCGGGTGTCTATCAGAAATTCTGGATACAGCGATTTGTTCCAGGTGATGCACAAGGCACTTGAAGCCAACACCAACCGATATGCCGAACCCCGACCCCTGCAGCCATCTGTGATGCAAAATCCTTCTCTGAACGAAGGTAGATTGGAATAAAAAGCTCACACAAAGCTGGAAGTCAATTCTCATCCTCTGCATTTGCTAAAGCCCTGCGGATGCGCACACACACACGTGCAACTCTCTGCTCCATTTTTCCTTCCCTATGGAAGCCCATTCCCTGCCAGCAGCACGGCTTTGCCAGCTCGCCCAGCACCGTTATCCCTCCAGACTGGGACAGGTCGCCGGGCAGAGCAGCCGGTCTCCCCTTTCTCCCTGCAATCGCTCACAGAAGGCAATTGCTTTCACACCAATAGCAGGGGAGAAGCTTGAAATTGATAAATTTAGCTCCCGGAAACCGCAGCGTGATGTATTGTCTAATTATTGCCCTTGTAGAGATTCCTGTCACTTCCAGCCGGGAGCTCTCTGCCTCATTTTAAGGCTCCGAGGAGCTTTGCTCCACACAGTCGGTTATTTCCACCCAAAGGGCACGCTTAGGACACAGTGCGAGCACCGCCACTGCTGAAAACCAGCTAACCCCATTTAGGGTGACAAGCCTCACACTTTGGGGGTGAGGAAAGCAGCTCCCCGCTGGCTTGCAGTGGGGCTCCCCCCAGGCTGCAGCCCCCCGGCAGCGGTCCTGGGCCAGGAGAGGGTTAGCTGATGGTCCCTGCACCCATCATTTGCAATGCAGCTGTGTGTCCTGAGCAAGCAGAGACCAGGGGAGCGAACCCTCCTCCCATCTGAAATGGGTGCTGGAGAGAGGACCTGGAGGGAAAAGCTCTGCAGATAAAGATTTGGATGGGCTCCTACATCAGGAATAATGGAAGACTCGTCCTTCGCTTCAGTGAGGTGCCATTATTTCATGCAGCTCCCATCTGATTTTCCCCACAGAACTGAAGTTTTTGCTCTCCTTTTTTTAAAAAACATTTCTCTTCTCCACTGTCTGACTTAATTAGTAATTCCTGGGTTGTGCCAGACAAGCCTTCAATCTCTGCCACAACGTCCTGCTCCAGCTCAGACATCATTTCCCAGAGGGAAACAGTGGGAGATGAGATATCCTAACAATGATTTTTGCATTTAGAATTAAATAAAAACTGGCCTACTTCTGAACACTCACTCGCTAATTTTATTCTTCCCTCCTTTGCTTTTTTTGCCTGCAAGTGTGGGAGCAAGGACGTCTAACAGGGGCTGTACGCCGTGCAGACCGCTGCTCCTGTCACACCATGTTTGAGGCCAGGGCTGATCCTGAGCCATAAACCCAGCACCGAGCACACAACAGGTCCCTGTCTAGGGTAAGCCCTAGGCACATTAAGGAATTAAAGTTGGATTTTGTCAAAAAAAACCCCAAATTTACTGTCACATCATGGCCTCGGAAGCACAACGGGGTGAGCTGTTTGAATGGATATGTAATGCTACGGGGCAGTGAGCCAGGGGCATGCTTCATGTCATCACCAGCCTACATCTGGTTAAAATAACATCACAGAAAATGTTAAGTACGCTCAAGACAAAGCTCTGTAAAGGCAGATGTCATCAGATGGATTGTCCCCTCCCTCTTCCTTTCTCAATATCGCAGCAAAAGATGCATCTGGGGGAAAATGTACTATGTGAAATCAGCCAGCACTATGGACAAAACCAGGGGACTGTTCCCTGCGGCCATATAGTTTTTGGTTTCCTCTCTGCAAGCGTGAGCATCCATTCCACCACTGCCAGAAAGGGCAGGATGAAACGCAAATGCATTGCCTGACCGAGGCCTCTAACAAAAAGCTAATTCTGTGCTCAGACACTGGAAGGACCTGGCAGCTGCCCAGGGCAAAGGGGACCCACGCAGCCATCTCCGGCCTCGTCCTCTGGTGACGTCCCTGCTCCCGTGCTGCTGGGGCTTGGGGGAGCAACAGCAAAGCGCGATGCGCTGGGGAAGAGGGCAAAGCAGCTCTCAAACAACTCATGCGAAAGACGAGGCTTTACCCTTCCGGCCTCGTTCACCCTTCCATTAGCCCTGCTGCTTTAGGGACGCAAACGATCCTTAATAAATAGCAGCAATTTCCCAAAGGCACAAGGATCTACACTGCATTATACCGCTGTCATTCAATCAGCCCTTGAAAGCAATTTGCTTACCGGTGGATTTGATTTCTCTGACGTAGTTGCTTGGGAACCAGCCTGTTTTTCCATTCAAGGTCCCTTCCCACCAGCCCCCTTCTTCAACCCGGGTGACATAAATAATGTCTCCTTTGTTAACGGAGAGTTCATCCTCATTGGTCTGCTTAAAATTGAACCTGGCCTTTACCACCAGCTGATGACTGCCATTCTCGGTCATCTCCTAAGGAAAGAAACATGGAAAAACACCAGTAAGTAGTCCAAAAAAGCAGAAGCCGCTAGGACAAGCTATTGTTCTTCTTTATTGTGACAGCTGTTTTTTCAGTATCGCTCTTTATAACAGCAATAATGTCTTGCTCCTGTGTAAGCCCTCCTGCCAGAGGACCACGAGGTCCCTCCCAAGCATTAATTTTGTTTCACAGTGCAATGGAGGAAAGCTAAGAATCGCTCTTCCCATTTCACAGAGAAGATCTGGAGAAGCCACAGGACTCTCTCCAGCCAGGGCAGCAAAGCCACGATGGAGATTGGGGGAGAACAAGCCCCTCTGGCGTACTCGACTCAGAGGTACCACTCACACCCCCCTACCCCCCCCAGCCATCAAACCCTTGATGAGGTGTTAAATGAAGGATACCACAGGCTTGGACTGCCTCCTCAACACCCTCGCTGACTGTGAAGCTGTGCCGTTGGAGTCAGTGTGGGGACCGCCAGCCGCAGAGCTAAGAGACGATAGATGCGAACATGGCCCTTTTGACGGCTGATCTGGTGAAGCAAAAACATCGTCTGAGTTTCACCCAGCTGCCCACCATCCCTCTGCATCCCAGCAAAGCAAAGAGTAAAGCCCGTAAAGAAAACAAGAGCAGGACACAACAGTGAAAAGAGCATCTATTAGAGCAAGACAGCAAGTGCACTGCATCTCCAGTGTGGGTCCTCCTAGTCAACAGTGAGGAGGATGGTTTTGCTGGGCTGGGTTAACCCTTCCATGATGGAAGACGGTGAATTGCATCCCAAGGCACTCCTAGGCTACGCCAGCTCTCCAGCCACACATCCAATCGCAGTATTTTTTTTAAATCCCCCTTAAAACTGTGGAAAAATGGAGTAACACTCAGCCTGATGGTGCCCAGCTGGGAATGTTTCTGGGATCCGAGTAAGCACTGTTGAAGGTGTTGCAAGGTTTAGCTCACAAGTGAGCACTCTTAGGTCACCTCCGCAGCTGCAGCGTGGGCTTCCCTGCCGAGCGGGGAAGAATGCTGAACAGCTGGCCAACACAATGGCTCCTCTGTCGAGCCAAGTCCTTCTGGGTTCATTATACAGCTGGAAGAGGCTAGGCACAACTTTGATTGCTGTTTGTGGACCGCTGCCCTTAGCCATGTGAGAGAGGCATTCAGACCATGCCGAGGAAGGACAGGAGTGTCACCCCCAGGAGACGGACAGCCCACGGACAGGCTCAGCTCATCCCAGCAGCTCTTGGAGTTGATCCTTCACACGCTCCAAGCTCCTCGCTTGGCAAACGAGCCTCTGGGCTTGTTCCTGCCACAACCCGCCTGATGCTGGAGATAATGCTACTGCTCTGACACATATCTATTTTTCATTATTAGTTTATTTTGGGGTTTTTGTTTCTATATTACTATTGAAAAACGTGCCAGAGGGTAAAGTTTCCTGGTCAAAACTGCCCCATGCTGAGACTGTGGCAGCAGCCTTGCCACTAAGAGCGGTCCCAGCTCCCGCGCGACCTGGCAGCGCTCAGCCCCAGAATCCTGCTTGGATGCTGCAGAGTGGTAAAAACATGGGATTCAAGCCACCCGGTAATTCCCAGTACTTCTCTGCTACTGCACCTCACACCACACTGTGGGACAACACTCACATCGCCTCCTTTCTATGGGCCACGGTGCTCAAATGAAGCAACAGCAGATATTATCATTTCAGGAAACTGTGAAGTACTTTTAAGATTTGCCTTGTAGCTTCTTTTTAGATTGAAGAACATTTCTGTGTTCCAGAGCTATTGTTTTCCACCTGCAGTGTGGCCCTAGCGTGCCCACGGACATCAAAAGGAAGACAGAGAAGATCGGGCTGCAGCCACCGAAGAATCGGAAAACACAAACTCTTAAGGCTGCTGTTCCCCCATTCTCCTCAGTCTGAACGTCAACATGGAAAAGTCATTCCGAAGGGGAAGTTTGCTGGGAGTTACAGGAACTCAGCTGGGCTTTTATTCTCCCCAGAGGATTTTTGTTTCAATAGAAAAACACCTCATCCTTAGACTGGACCAGGAGCAACACAAGCTGTGAGCTCTTGGAGAAGGGCCTTGCTTTGTCTTTCTCCCAGCGCCTTGGACAATGGGGACCAGGTCCATGACTACAACTTCCAGGCGCTGCTGCCTTACAAACCCCCAACCACACCGTACCCACGCACCAGTCCTCTGCTCCACGCTCCAGCAATAGACAACACTGCCATTGCATCTCCTGCGCTCTCAGTGAGCCAGTTTGCTCTCTTGCCCCGTTCGTTGCACAACTGCCTGACGACCGCACGGTGAATTCCCAGCTCCCTGGGCTGCAGGAACAGCAAAACCCCTCTGCATGGAAAACCCACTTTGCAAACACAGAATGGGTTGGTTTTTTTTTTTCCTCTGAAGCATCCTGATATTTGAGCAGGAGCGGTTTCGGCTGCTCCCAGCGGCTCATGGGCCAGGAGGGGTGGCCGGCTGCCAGCGTGAGATGTTCTTCCCCTGATTCCTTCTAGAGAGGGAGGGCGTAAACCGCGAGTCCAGACTTCTCCACTTATTCAAGCCATCAGCAACAGTCCCACGGAAATGACTCGGTTACTGTAGATTTTATGCTTCTCCCTGCCCCGCCCAATCTTCCAAAGCTTTTATAAATATCTGCAGCAACCTAGAAACAAATGTAAAACTGACTTTGACAGTTTGGCAGGGAAGTGTATCATTTATATTGCATCATGACAGCGTCCTATTTTATGCCTGGTCCAGCATGGAACACTGCTGCCATATGTTGCTTAAACTATGGTTAAAATAGCTGGGGTTTCTGCTCACATTCCTACACTATTTTTGGCAGATGAGCCTCGCCTGATCCAGCGCAGCTGGTTTTCCTCCCCTGCCCTCTCTTTCAGATAAAAGCATCAAGCTCGGTGTTGCTGTTATTTGATGGACAGCTGCTGAACTGTGAGTTTATCTGCTAGAAATGATGCTTCTAGTTATTTGCATAACAAGATCCACGAAGCCACAAGGATTTGGACTTCAAATGGATGCTCAGAAACACATCCCCACAGCGGTTCCTTAGCTGTCACCTACTTCCCTCCGCCTCTGACAAGGGTGTCGGGATGCAGCAGCTCTGCGGGTGTCGGGATGCGCAGGCACGCCGGAGCCCTGGCCGTAGCAGGGACTGCAAAAGCCAGTACCAGGCTTGTCCCAATGCTCCGTTCTGCCCTTGGCCTCTGGCGAGACGGACAAACCGGACCATCTGCAGTAGCGGTTTGTAGGACACAGGCTCTTCCTTCTCAGGAACTTGGCCAAGCCACCAAAAAGCAAACGTTTTAGACATGTATTTATTTTACCCTGTACTTTTCCCAAGGGTGCTCTCTGCCTGAGCAGCTAATTATATCGCAGGCATTGCACTTTTTAACATTTAAACAGAGAAAGCATAAGTTCAAGCAGATGTTTGCTGTGAAACCAAGAGGATTCCAGCTTCCCTATAGCCTCGTCGGTAACGTGTGACGGAAACTATTCCACGGCAAAGCCCCCCTGAGCCTCACCCAGTGACTGCATGGACTGAGCTGGGACATGGGTGGCTGCAAGAACGGAGCTGGGGCTGTAAATAAGGGGACTGCGGTGACAGTGGTGATCCGGCCTCACCACCCCACCGGCCCACACCCCATCGCACCCCTCTGGTCCAGCAAGGGGCAAGCATGGAGGCAGGGAAGTTTCTCACTCTTTTTGCTTTCAGAATAGCGAAGCTAATGTCAGTCATAAGGACAGCGTTTGCAAAGGCTACTCCTGGTGTAGGTAACCTGCATTTTATATCCCCCATCACACTGAACTGCAAGGGCTTTCTCCATGGGGTCACCGGGTGCTGCCATTTAACGGAGCGGGAAGAGGCTGCAAGGAGATGTGCTGATCTGGAATTACCATCACCGACTTCTCAGGAGCAAGCTGGCAGCAGAGCTGAGTGCTGGCTGCAGAAAGGCAGTCTTAAGAACCTGGATTTCTTCAGAGCAGCATTATATGCATGTACATACACATGTATGTGTGTGTGTACACATATATATTATTATTATACATTATATATTATTATTATACATTATATATTATTATTATATACGTGGCTGTTTAATATATACATTACAATACAATATACAGTAGTTTATATAATGTATAACTATAGTATATATATATTTTTTTATATATACATGATTTTATAAAGCCTTGCATCAGAACAGAACAGAGAAGAGGAAACAGGGAGGAGAGGGTCCAGTCCCAGCAATGAGGCTGCTCACCTGAGCAGCTTCTGTACTAGCAGAAGAGAACCCAAAAGCAAAAACTCAGTCAAAAGAGAAATGAAACAACGGAGAAAAACACCGCAAACCGAATCTAGGCAAAACACAGTAAGTCAACAGAAAAACCTCCCCATGAAAGGAAAATCATGAATCTGGGTTTTGAATTTTTCTCCTCTTAATGTAAGATTAAATGCCTAAAAAGTAATCTGCAACAGGGAAATCAAACTCTCCTCCTGGTGCTGGACTCTGGTGGGCGTGCAGGACTCTGCAAATCCGCTTGCGTGACAGGGGGCCATAAACACCCCCCACCTGCAAACCCTTCCCAGCTCGGCACAGACCTGCTCCTCAGCCCCTTGGCGAAGAGACCCTGGTCCTCTCACCCCTCCCCAGGGCACCACGCTGCCGTTGTCCTCCCCGCTGAACTCCTCCTTTCACTGCCTGTGTGACTGAGAAGCAGTCTAAAGCAGCCCGCGGGGAAGAGCTACATATCTGGGGTGGAAACAAGAGGAGCTGATTTGCTCTGCTTCAGCAGCCCGCTCCTGCAGCCAGGGAGGCAGGACAAGCCACCAGCTTGATTCCCAAATCCGGGAGCCTACTCCATGGACCCAGGGAGAGGAGAGAGACAAACATCAATACAATTGACTGAGCATCTGGCAACAACATTTGTTTTGACATGCAGTAAAGATATCACGCAGATGGATCTGTTTTTCCCTTCGGCTTTAAAACACACTCTTTAAAATCTGACATTTGCATTTTGGGAGGTGCATGCTCATTTACATCAAGGCTCCTTTACGATGACCTAATTTGAGGTCCCTTAGTATTGTCAAAACTGAGCAGAGGTCCCTTAGCGCAAAGCGATAATCAGGCTCTGCAAAGTGCATACGGCAACTCTGAAATGCCACATCTAAACCTGGAGTTCGTAGAAGCATGAAATGTCGATTCCACCGCCCAGCACCAGGCATCGGTGCCGGCAGCACAATTTGCCAAGCCTCCGGAAATCATCATAAACTAGGAATTACCAAAACCAAACCAAAACAAACCCACCCCAGCATACATACGAGGCAGAATTTGAAAAGATGAAAGAAAAAAACCTTTTTTCTTACCTTCGGTAGCTTTATTTACAGCTGTTAATGTGCTCAGGACCTTGGAGAACTGTTCTCCGGTGTACAAATCATGTGCATCAAACACCTGCGAAAGAGGAACGTGGTCAGCTGGGCCCGAAACATCTCACTCCGGCCACCTGAGCAGCCCACCTTGCTAGGGGGTGACAGGAAGGATTAAGCAGCCCGTATGCCTCCGCAGGGGTAGGGTGTTTATTCAGGGCTGACGAGCCCCATTTCCTTCCTAGCGAGCCAATTCCTGGGGCGCCGGCGGCAGGCGGCGTGGGAAGGGCTGGGGGACCCACCAGCGTTTGGAGCGGAACGCTGGGGACAGGGGAGGAAGAAACGGGTGCTGTCTGCAGAGAAGGGACTCTTCAGAAAATCATGGAGAAGGTTATTGCTTCCCTTCGGGGAGGGAAAGATTTTGCTGCTATTTTTGTTATCGAAAGCTGACGAGATTGAGGCTGTACATATATATGCATATACACACGCACGTATTTTCCACAGCAGAAGAAACAAACACACAAAATCTTCTGCTCTTGCAATACGGCATACACAATACATTTACGTTTTTTTACAGGAAGCCAAAACCAGTTATTTTATGTGCAAAAATTCTACTCTAGAAGAGCCTCATCACCAAAACAGACAAACATAGTTAGCAAGGGCTTATTTTCTGTGACTGGTAACCTGGACCTTGTACACCCAGCCCTTCAGAAATCACCACCAGCACAATGAGGGACAATCTGAGTTCCAAAAATCTGCAATCCCCTCTAACACCTGGGAAATGCCCTCAAATTCACACAGACTGTACAAATCCTACCATTAATGAAGTAACGATAAGCGCTACAAACCCCCCCCCGTTACTGGTACCACCAAGGCACCACCTGCTAATCCCCAAATGTGCGCTGCCTTGCAGATGGAGACCACAGCTCCGCAAATCCAACGGGAAAGATGATTTTAAAGCTCTCCTGGCAGACGCCATCTACTTACGAACACTTCCAATGCACTGAAGAGTGTATCCTGCTAAATAAGTACAGCAGCCTCAATTACCTTTAGGGCAGGACTGCCCTTTCACATGGCCCTTTCTTGCTTTCCACATACAGCTCCTCGAATACGCTTGGCATATTTCAGATCGGAAGGGGACTGGCCTCTTCCGCAGCCCTGGACGCTCACGGCATCCCTCCCCCTCGACAGACACATCAGTGCAGCCACAAAGTCCAACACGGGCAGTACACAGCCTGCTCTTTGTTGAGAATATATTTAAAAATTGACTCATCCACTCAATACTGGGAGAAAGGCTTTACCCTGAAGAAATTTAATCCACGCTCAGAGGGGGAGCAGCCTGCCGTCATTACAAATATTAAAATCCGCAGCTCCGCAGCTCCGATCACATCTCCCGCTCTGCACATTTCGGGGACATCCCCACCTACCTTGGGCTGTTTCCAAGCTGATCTATCGCCCGCTTGGGTTTGCTCCTTTGGACCACGCAGACCCCATCCCCTCTGCTAACTGGTGTGTGAACCAGTTTTCCTGCCTCGCAGTTGCAGCCAGTGCTACCTGAGCATCGCCTCCAGCCCGAGGCAGCGACGTTAGCATCTCCGTGGAAAGGGAGACGGTAACGGAGAGCCCGGGCGTGCGCTGACCCCGTTGGCAGCCGCCGGAGGATGCGACGTTACCGTAAGGCACCTTCACCCTCCTGCCAAGTGAGGCTGGGACGTTTGCGTGCATCTCTCTGGTGCGTCATTTTCTCAGTCCTACCCTTTTTCTTCCACTTCAGTAAGTCCAGAAGAAACAAGCCCTGCCTTGAATGAATGGCACAGTTGCTTGTTCTTTTTTTAAAGGACCGAAGTAGTAAAATACATCCCTGGTCCTTCAATGCACAGAATAATGCTGTAAGCTCAGAGTCATCAGTCCAGAGGAAAATGGCGGCAGGAGGGATAGGCAAAAAAATTCCAGCACAAAAGCAAGCAGTAACTTTTATGACTTTTCTTCATGAAGAAATTGTCTGGAACAGCTACTGTGGAACACTGGTAATGTGGAAAACTCTTCTGGATCAGCTACTGTAATGTAAACATACTCTGCAGCTTGTTCCAGAATAAATTAATCATACAGAAAAGTCCTCGTTTATGAGCTAAAGATTACTTTTTCCAGCACAATCCATACATAATTCCATTCCTGACTAAAAGACAAGCTGCAAGCCTAGAAGAAAAATAGCGGGGGGAAAGGCTTTTTCGCTCTTGGCTCATGGAAGAACTGGTGGATGCAAGTAAAACCCTGCTTAAATCTACGGCTGTCATCTGAGGATCCCCATTAAAATGCTTTTCTGACTTTTTCAGACTGCAGCTCCCCTTGGTGAAACACTCCGGCTGCTCCGTCAGGCACCACCGCGGGAGAGAGAAAACCTGCACTGCTGCACCGCCAGCCCTCCGCCGACAGACACCCAGAAGGTGGGGGGGGGCTGGTGCTCGCCGGGCAGTGACCAGAAGAGCACCCAGCTTTTCAGGAAGGATGAAAAATCAAACCCAGGGGCATCTAGCAAGTCGCCACCACCCAAAATCCCAGCACTGGGATGGGAGGTGCTGAAAAGTTCGCGGAATCCGCGTTGCGTTTCGAGCCCGAGCTGGTTTATCCGCACAAACTGTTCCCACGCTTTGGCAAAACCCCGGCAAACCTCAAGCTGGGTGCAAAGCCCAAAGCTCGGCGCGACCGCGACCCTTCATCCAGGCCCGAGGATGAGGGCTGGAGCAGACGGGCCCGCGCCCGCTCCGACTGCCGGCCCTGCGGGC